AAGAAAAGGAAACACCAAAAGTAGTTTAGAAAGCACTGATTTGGAGGTAAGACAACTGGGTTCCCTTCTAACTTTGTCACTCATTAAGTTCTCAATTAATGTCCTAGAATCTCAGTGATATTTAAAGAAAGGAAGGTAAAAATAGTTGACCCACCTACCTCCTATAGTTGTGAAGATATTCACATACACATTGGAAATGATAGATAAAATAACATTAGGAAAACCTTGTGCTTCTTGAGAGGTATGGGGATGGGAAAAACCCGCCTGCTGTCAATGACTTTGGGAAAGAAAGTTGGATTTCATTCTAGCATATTGACTGCAGAGAAGAATCCAACCCCAATGTCAGTAATCTTGAAGAGTGAAAGAGAGGTATTGAGATGAGCAAATATTGTCCCAATGTATTTAAAGTGTATATTCAAGGAAGAACATGAATTCCAGGAACAAAAGCCTAAATTATATTGATCTTTGGCAAGATTCTGTAGTGACATTTCAGATGGGTTATTTGTTAGGTTCAGAAGGGAAGTTGCAATGACTAGCAGTCAGTATGAGTTCACCAAGAACAACTTACAAGAGCTATTCTTTTTGTTCACGTGTTATTAATACCAAACTGGTAGGTTGGAGGAATGTGTCGTGATTCTAGCTGAGAACAAGATGTAGAAAATGGTCAAGAATACAAAATAATTAGGTGGATTCATAATTGATGGAAGGCCTGGATCTCAGGATTTCCCACTAATGAGCTGATGCTATCAACTAGGTGGAAAAGTCTTAGCTGGCATGCCACGTGGGTCCATTCAACTCCTTACATTATCAGCTTAGATAAAGACATAGAAGGCATGCTTACTTCATTTTCAGGTGCTATAACGAAAGTAAAAGTGTTAAGTCATGAAATAAGATCCAAAAAGATCTTGATAGCCTGGAAGGAACAGTGAATGAAAGAGATTAAATTTATAGGGATAAATAAATGCGAACTAAACATTTCCCTTACATTAAAAGTCAGCTTCACAGGATAGTCAAGAGACTGGGCTTTCATGTAAGTTTATATGAAGAACAGCCTCAGGGTTTTAGCTGACCACAAGGGCAATGTGAGCAGGTCATGTGATTCACCACAAAACAAAACACAACACTCCCCAAAACAAACAAATAAAAAAAGACCCTGTCTTCTTATGCCAGACGAAGAGAAATAGCCTGTCCAGACCAAGGAAATAATAGTTCTTCTGTACTTGGAATTGGTTAACTTACATCTGGAAGATCACGACTAGATAGCGATGCCACATTTTCAAAGGGGCATTGACAAGGTGGAGCTGACCAGAGGAGGGTGGTCAGAACGTTGGAAGGTCTGGAAACAATCATATAAAAAACAGCTGGAAGATCTTGTTTTATCTGGAAAGGGGGATGGTGTGGGTCTATGTTTTCAGGGGGAGATAACATATCTGTAAAGAATTTAGCACAGGGCAGTAGACTTAGTAAACACTCAATAAAAGCCAACCGTAATTATTATTCCAATAGTAAAAGTCTTGAAGATTTTATGTAGCTTCAAAGGACAACACTAACAACAATGTGTGGAATTATGGGAAACACTCGCTATTTTGATATAGAGAAGGAAAAACTTTTACAAAGGTAGACTGTTTCATGACTTAGTCATCACCTGAGATATTACAGAAACTTCTGTGTTTTTATAATAGTCACAGTTTCCCAAAGACGTATAACTAGTTGGTGTTATAAATTATCTTGTGGCTTAGAAACAGAGCATGTTCTATCAGTTGGCCATTTCTGTGTGACAAACTTATGTACTGAGAGAGGCTCTTCATTGTACTGAGTATGTTCTTTGAGCAGGAGACATATTTGTAGAAAGTATGACATGAATTTGTTTTTTTAAGAATGGAAACATTTTGCGGGAGAATGTTAGGATTGTTAGCATATAATAGCACTTGGTAAATATTTACTTAATGAATTAATTATCAAGATAGAACATCCTTTTAATTGTCATTACCCTGTAATGATTGGAAATTTCCAAACAGAGGGGACTGGGCAATGAGAAAATGACCTTTTCCTTCCTCACATCAGAGAAGTCTTTTTTTCCCCATTGTGGAGTGCCATGCATGTGGGTGCGTGTATGTGTGTGTGTGTGAACTTAATCTTCCTCATGCTCAGGGAATCGTTCCTACATTGAGGTAAGGGAACTGTCATTGGCCTTGTCTGAGATGAGGATACCTTGTCACACACGGACTCTTCTGCCATCACTTATTCCTTCAAAGCTGACAGTGCTTTTAGAGATAAAAGCAAAATGGAAATCTCTTTTTTCTCTCTTCCTTTCTTTTCCCGATGTGTGTTTTGGGAGGCAGTAGGCAGGCACACCTCTTATATTGTGGATTGACAAACATAAGAGCAAGGGGTCCTACTGCTTGTTGCAGGAGCCTGGCCAGCAGCTTGTTTTTCTCCAGGGACCTGCACTGTGACAGAGAAGCCACTGGTAAACCTAGCCCACACCCCTCCCCTACTGATGGATCTCCTTGCTTTCTGGAGACCAGATCAATTAGGGTGTCTAACATTTAACGTGAGATGGCAGATCATTTTGATGGAGAGGAAATACATATCTACCAACTCTACTCAAATCTATTCATGGTAAAGCAATAATGATACGTTAGATTTCTCAGCTTGAAGGAACTGTAGAGATCATGTAGTTTTACACCATTGCATTAAAATGAAATGGAAAACAGCTTGCTACTCAGATGGAGGGGTTTATCATCAGTCTTAGCATATATATTTTATAAGTTTTATAAGAGAAATAGGATAGAAATAATACTGGTTTTAAAACTTGTATTCCATTCTGCAAGAGGGGGTTTGGGGAGCAGCTTCTGAGGTTCCAAGGGAAGGATAGAGGTCGAGGTCTATGTCAGAGGAAACAGATGGCACCACGATGAGACAGTCAGATGCCAGTGAGATTTATTTTTACTTCTCGTAAGTTGAATTGTGAGGGAAGTATTTTGAAATATAGTCAGACTCCTTTTAAGTAAACAGTTATGAACAGCATTACGGTTCAGGTTTTAGAAATTATGTTCAGTTTAGAGATTATAATTATTATATAAAGTTCATACTGCCTATATTGGTGATAGTAACAACTTCCTTTTCATTTCCTTTTGAATGCATTCTCTTAAATTTTGAAAGTTGAGCAAAAAGACAATAATGAAATAGGTGGAGACAGCATTGAGTTATAAGAAGAAGGAATAATCTAATTTATATTTTGTGCTTGGAACTAATGTTGGAGGTAATAATATTTTCTAATGTACCTTCTAATGTGGTTCTTTAACACATGCATGCATTTTAGAATTTCCTTCTTTCATTTATATGACTTTATCTCCCATGGTGCCAGATATCTTACTTTTTGTTTGCTTGTTTTTTGTTATTTTTTGTTTTGTTTTGTTTTGTTTTGGGCAACTATTTACATCCTTACAGGAATAAAGAGTTTTGGTCATTTTTAAGCTGATTTATATGACCCTAACTCCTAATTTTTATCATTCTTTAAAGTGAATTTTTAGGATATTTTGGAACTATTTAAGCACATTGCTCAATTATATGCAATGTCTCACAGGTGGCTTATAATGTTTAGAATGAAACCTCTGCTGGGCTTACTTTAGTTTCTGCAGCAAGCAGAGTGACTATTGTCATTTGTATTAACTCTGGGACTAGGAGCCTCTAAGAAAGTTGCGATGTCTCTGATTTGATGACAACAGTTAATCTGGAAACATGAAAATCAGTTTACGGATCCCCTTTCTGAGACTTAATTATCTGAAATGTCAAGATACTAGTTGTAATCTTGTTTCTTTGCATCTACTTCCAACCCTTAAACGCAACAACTTAACAATCAAGATAAATAATTTGGGGGGGGGGGAAACCCCAGTAATGATTTATAATAGAGGCCAGCGCAGTTGTGGGACTGGAATGCTTTTTAAGTGGCATGCAGTCTGGAAAGTAGATTTTGGGTATCTTTGATGTTTCTTTACTGTGATCTGAACAAATCATCTGTGAATTATAACTGGAGGGTTTTCTTATTAAGACACCATGTCCTATCCCTGGCATATAAAAGTAACCATTCTCTGGGGTGTAAGAAATTCAGTGAAACCTTTTGCAATGCTAGCATTAGGAGCTTAGATGAAACCCAGCATTCCAGTCCAATGAGGTGCTTTGCAGGTTTTATTGTGTATAGAATATAGGCAGTAAATATACAAGGGCTGTCTGGAAAGTATCCAGCCATGCAACTGTTTCATTACATTAACTATATTTACATATTTAAATACAAACTTACATTTATTTCTCTCCCAACATTTTTCTTGTCCCCTTTCAATGGGCAGCCTAGCCCTCAGGGGTTTCTTACTTCAGTGATTGTTGCAGGGTAGGTAGGAGTGTGATAGGACAGGATGATAACAGGGAAGCTGCTTGAAGTCATGCTATTCCTCATCTTTCATGAACCCCTAAGTTTATTTAAGAAATTGTGCTGGCTATGTTGGACAAAGAGGAGAGAGAAGGGATGCTTTGAAGGGCAAAAAGAGAAGAGAAGAAAAGTCGTAGTTATGAAGGAAGAGGAAAGAAAGAACATGGTCTCCAGGGCAGAGAATAAAGAAGAAACATATAGTAAGTTGAACAAATGTTCCCCAAACCCCATTAAATGTCAGTAAAGGAATTTAAAAATGTGTAAGGCCATAAGGAGAAAGAAAACGAAAGAGGAGACAAGAAAGAGATGAGAGATATCAATAAAATTTTAGAGGATGGAAAGTAAATAGAAAAGTTGGAACTGAGTTAGCAGATGAGGGATAACTGAGGCCTACCTTTTCTTAGAGGGAAAGAACCAAAAGAAATGGGCAGTTCAGCCATAGAACCAGGGCAAGTCTTAGAACTAGAGGCACCAGGTAGTTGAGGTGAAGGGTAGGGTTGAACCAAGAGGGTTGGTGAATGTTTACATAAGAAGCAATTAGATTACTGTTCTTTTCTTCTGCCTTGTACAGCTGGCCTGCTATCTCTTCCCTACCCTGGCAGGAGACTGATGGTTTATTTTCTCAAGAAACTGAGCTAGAGAAGATAGTAGAGAGGTGCTGGAAGGAATATAAGAAGATGAGGTAGAAGCAAAAAGGTAGCAGGCAGGAAAAAAGCATCTGAATCTGTTGGAAGGTTTGCCTGCAAAAGCCAGACTTCAGAACCGAACAATGAAGAAACATTCTCAGAAACTTACAGAGCAGCTTGGGACAGGTAAAGAATGCCTGTTCCCAGGAAAAGTGGCAACAGTGGTCCTCAGAGAATTTGATAAGCACTAAGCACCCTCAAGCTGAGTAAGAACAGAGAAAGAATTTCCAAGTTACTATTGAGATAATAAGTTTTCTTACATTTAACTTCTGCAAGCATAACTGGGTTAGGAAAGAATGAATGACCTTCATGTGCAGAAAAAACACAAAAGTAGAAATACAAGTGCTGAGTAAACCTAAGAAAAAAATGTTCAGACTCACCTATGATCAAAGGAGATGTATGTACGACGAGATGTCCATTTCCATTTCAACTAAAAATTAGCAAAGAACAAGAAGAATGAGTATATTTAGTGCTGATCAGGGTGTGTTGACCAGGCATAGTGCTGGAGGGAGTATAAATACACTATTTGAAGAAAGTCATTTGACAGTATGTGTCAATAGTTTTGAATATGTTAATTCCTTTTGCTCATAAATTCTGAGAATCTCACCTGAGGAAATAACTAGAAATGTAAATAAATATGAATGATAAAAGATGTTTAACATTCATTATCTGTAATAACTAAAAAATGTAAACAAACTAAATGTTTAACAATAACAATCAAGTAAATTGTGTTACCTTGCTGCAATGAGATATTATGCAGCCATTAAAATTTATGCTTACACAGATTGTAAATTTGAAATATTGATGCAATCATATTAAACAGCATAAACATTTGTATATATAGTATGCTCTCAATTATGTAAAAGAAGCCTGCAAAAAAATGCTCAAGGGAAACATGTCAAAATATAACAGTTACTATTCCTGTTTGTATTATAGATTTTTTTTTCCTTTTTACAAAAGATCTTTATTGAAATTTTAAATTTTCTAAATAGACTTTTTTAAAATGGGAATGAGTGCCTTTGGAGAAAATCTGAAAAAATGGCTTTATATTTTTTGTTAATCAACTTCAAACTCATCAGGGAAAACAGACATAATGAATTTATAGAGGTACAGTATTTTAAAATCTGAATTTCTGCTGGGGAATGAGTAAACAAAGCGTGGTAACAGATGCTTCTCCCCAAGATTTTCATGTTCTAATCCCCAGAACCTGTGAATATGTTAGGTTTCGTGGCAAAGTGGAATTAAAGTTGCAGATGGGATTGAAGTGTCCTAATCAGCTGACCTGGAGCTGGGGAGATTAATCTGGATTTTCCTGGTGGGCCCAATGTAATCACAAGACTCCTCATAAGTGGAAGATGGAGACAAAAGAGAGAGAACCAGAGAAAAGGCAATGTGAGAAAAGTTGGCCTGATATTGCTGGCTTTGAAGATGGAGAAATGTGGCCACAAGCCCAAGAATGTAGGTGAGCAATAGAAGCTAAAAAAGGCAAGGAAACAGATTCTCCCCAAGAGCCTCCAGGAGGGACCAGCCTGCTGATACCTTGATTATAGCCCAGTGAGAACCATTTTGGACTTCTGACCTTTAGAACTATAAGTCAATACATTTGTGTTGTTTTACAGCGGTAAGTTTATAGCAACGCGTCCCAACAGCAATAGGAAATGAATGCACAAACCTTGCTGCCATCATTACCACAGAAGCTGGTATCACTACTAAAATGGCAAGTATGGGGCCAACATTGACATCATGATTTAGAGTGTACAAAATACTTTCAGCACACGTTAGTTCATTCAATCCTCACAGCAATCTAGTAAAGGAGAAAACACACGCTCCTGATTTTACAAGAGGGAAAACCAAGGCTTGGAACTTGGTCAAGCGTTGCACAGTGGCAGAGTTTGGATTCAGAGCCTGGCCCCCGACCCGAAGTCCCATGCTGTGGTCTGCCTCTCGCCATGTGCCCCAAACAAGGCTAAGCAGTAAGGAGCAGAACCCTTCGTAAAACGTGGGCCCCTACTTTGGCCAAGTACAGCAGAGAAAAGGAATACTCGAATAGTCGGTGTGTTAAGTTTATGGTATTTATTTTCTGTAAAACTTTTGAACAAAAAAAACCTCTAATGAATAAAAGCTAATCATCTCAAACCTGTGGTCCAATTATTTCCTTCTTCTCCAAAGACAAGATTATACATTTACACATGGACAAATGGGAAATTCTTGGTTTCTTGGGAAGGACGATCTAGTTGGTAGCTTGGCTTGCCTACCCCCTCACTGATGTCACTTTGCCCTTCATCCCCATCAGATGATGGCAGAAGAATTAAAAGGAGGTAAAATTCAAGCCATTGTGTCATGGTTAATTTTATGTATCAACTTGACTGGGCCATGGGGTGCCCAGACATGTGCTCAAACATTATTCTGGGCATGTCTGTCAAGGTGTATATGAATGAGATTAACATTGGATTTAGGAGACCAAGTAAAGCAGATTGCCTCCCCTAATGTGAGTGAGCCTCATCCAATCAATTAAAGATCCGAATAGAACCAAAACACTGCGTAAGAGGCAACTCTGTCTGCCTGTTTGAGCTGGGACATCAGTCTCTTCCTGCCCTTGGACTGGAACCAAACCACCAGCTCTCCTGAGTCTACAGCTTGCTGACCACAGATCATGGATCTTCTCAGCCTCTATAATTGCAAGGGGCAATTCCTTTTATTAAATCCCTTTAAAATATCTTTATCTTAATATTGAATATATATTCTATTGGTCCTGTTTTTCTGGAGAACCCTGACTAATCTACCTTGGGAATAACTAACTGTTAGTAAAAAGTGTCAGTGAGAAAAATTGGTTCAAACCCCAAATAAGCTGGTTTGATCTTCTCAGCTCCCTCTATATTATTCTGGAGGCGGCTGTACTCTGATATGCAATGATCTGGGGGCTCTGCAGGTAGGGCTGAAATAGCTGATGCTTTTAACAGACTCTTAGTGCTTAGGGTGCTTTGTCTACTGGGGCTTAGCTGAAACCTGGACTAGAGGTGCAGTCAGATCCCAAGGGCAGGGCTGGGCAGGGGCTGGGCAGGGAGCTGCTCCATAGGTAGTGAGATGAGCCCAAAGTGTCTGTGGACTGTTTTGCTTTTTAACAGACTTTTTAAAGAGCAGTTTTAGTTTATGCAGCAAAATAGAGAGGAAGGTATGGAACTTCCCACATATCCCCTGCCCCAGCGCACGCATAGTCCTCCCCACTGATTGGCGTTACAATGCATGTTTATACTCTTTCTCTTGATATCTTCTCATGATTGTCTCGACAACCATCACAGCCACGAATTACGTTTCAATGCAAAGGTTGTGCAAGATCCACCTGGAGACAATGTGCTGTGGAAGAGAAGCTGCTCCTTCTACTCTACGTTGCTGTCCCCCCATCCCTCTGCCCCCTCCCCATCAATCCCCAGGTACAGTTCTGCCCTCCCCACTCTGCAGGCCTTGGGGGGAGGTGTGAAGCTTGCCCTCCTTTCCCCTGTCACTCCCAGAGTGGATGTAGTATGGCCTCCCCTCCCTTGTGTGTGGAACCCGGATGTGGCCCCCCAGGGATGATCTCTGGGTTCTGCCACTGTGCCCTGAGGGGCCCGCGGGGCTCACTGCCTGGTTGTGTTCCAGTCTACAAACCCTGCAGTGCCCCTGATCCATCCCATAGGCCTCTTGCCGGCTTTCTTCTCCACCTGCCTTATGTTTAGACAACCAGGCTGCTACTTAAGTCCAGTGCCCCCGTGAGGACTCCAGCTGTCCCTGTAGCTATCCTTGAACCCTCATCTTCTGATGAGCCCTCTGTTGCCCTTGGACAGACTCACAGATGTGGGATACCTAGTCTTTGTGCATCAAAAAAGGTGGGGAGACTACCTTATTATCATTCTTATGCCAAACATGTACCCAAACTGAAGCCATCAAACATCTTGGGTAGTAAGCTGGCTGGCTCCCAGTACCATCCTGCCTTCAAGCATAGTGCCTGGGGCATACTTGAGTCGGCCTGCCTGCCTGCCTGTTTTGGTGCAAGCATGGAGATAAGCTTGAAATAGTTGCCAAGAGGCTCCTGAAACACTATATAGCATTGGGGAAAAAATAGGATCTCTCAGAGGGTAATTGGGTCCTCCTCATCTGTGTCTTCCTGGTACTCTTCTGGAGGACCAAGACCTTGTCATTTCTGGAAATATGGATTTAAAACCTACTGTGAGGAGTGAAGTGGCTGTGAGGGGTAGGGGCAAGGGACTGACATGTGCTGAGCTCTTGCTGGGAGTTCTCTATTTTTTGAACTTTATACATTTCACAGTGCCCACACAAGGCTATGGATATGATTATTTTATTTTACAGGTGAAGAAAGTGAAATTCCAGGAGGTTGAATAAGGTAGGGTGCTGTGGAGCCAGCACTCACATCTGCATCATGCCAAAGCTCTAGCCTGTTTTAGATGCAATTCTGCATTAGATGCTTAAAAAACAAAACAAAAACAAAAAACAGTGCAGACTTTTAAGGCACTCAGTATTTTTATAACCTTCCTTCCTTGGAATCCTCTTTTTCTTGAAATGTAGGCTCCTCTTTTTCTGGCCAGAGGAGGTGATATATTGAACATCTTTCCCAGTAAGTGGTAGGAAAGTATTTTTACTGGATGCTTCGAGATGGAGAGAAGCCCTGACCACACTCCAGAGAGGTACCTTTCTAGGTGCTCTAGAAGTTTTTAGTAGTAAAAACCCTAACATGTCAGTTTTACACCATGAAGCCATTTTTGTCTCAGTATTATTTTGAGGTATAAGAAATAAAATTAATGTACTATCCACACTTTCTTAGCTGGGGGAAGGGAACGCCTAGTGTACATTTTATGGGTCTTACCGGAGAAATAGTCAGCAAATAATCCTGCACCAGAAAGGCAGCTCTCTGGTTTCCTGGCTGTGCCCTGCTGCCCCTGTGAGCCTGTCTGTGATCTGTGGAGGGTGTTGT